TGAAATCAGGTTATGTGATGCCTCCAGCTTTGTTTATGCTGCTCAAGATTACTCTGGCTATTCAGGATCTTTTGTGATTCCATATGAATTTGGGGATTGTTTTGTCTATTTCAGTGAAAAATATCATGTGAATTTTCATAGCAATTGAACTGAATCTCTAAATTTCTGTGGATAGTATCTGGATATTTTAGCAACATTAATTCTTCCAATTCACAAACATGAGGTGTCTTTTCATTTATTCATGTTATCTTCAATGTCTTTTATCAATATTTTATAGTTTATTGTATGCAAATCTATCACATTCTTGTTGCATTTACTTCTATGTATGATTTTTTGATGCTATTCTAAATGGGGTTGTTTTCTTAATTTTTCCTTCTGGATTGTTCGCTGTTAGTGTGTAGAAACAGGACGGATTTTTGCTCATTGATTTAATTTCCTGCAACTTTACTAGATTTGATTATTAGTTCCAAAAGTTTTTTTGTAGCCCCTTTAGGGTTTTCTATATATAAGATTATGTCATCAGCAAACAGAGATAATTTTTTTTCCTTTAATATTTGAACGACAGCCAGGCGTGAAAAATCATGCCTATAATCTCAGCACTTTAAGAGGTCGAGTGGGCAGATAACTTGAGGTCAGGAGTTCAAGACCAGCTTGGCCAAACATGGTGAAACCACTAGAATTCAGGAGTTTCCAGACCAGCCTGGACAAACATGGGGAAACACCATCTCTACCAAAACATGCCAAAATTAGCTGGGAGTGGTGTCTGTGCCTGTATTCCCACCTACTAAAGAGGCTAAGGCAGGAGAATCCTTTGAACCCGGCAGCGGAGTTTGCAATGAGCTGAGATTGCTCCACTGCACTTGAGCCTGTGCAACAGAGCGAGATCCTGTCTCAGAAAAAAAAAATTTTAATGCCCTTTTATTTATTTTTGTTGCTTAACTGATCTGGCTGATCCTTGGCATCCCAAACTTTGTCCTGTGTTTTCTGGCCCTTCCCTAGCAGTAGGGCTTTATTTATGCTGTTACCCCAGTCCAGCTCCTTGAGTTTTTTTATAAGTGCTCAATGGCTATAGTTTGTGTTGCCCTTTTCTCTGTAGATTTATCTGTATTTGTTACTTAGGCGATTCATGTGGTTTGCATCTATTTAGAGGCCACTGTTGCTTTACCTAGGGTGAAGCTTTTTCTGGAATCTCTGTAGTGTATCCTATGAGACCTAATGGTGTTCTTTGAGGAACTTCTGGGACAGAAAATCCACCAAGCAGATGCAACCCCACTCCTCACATGTTTGTGAATATTTATTCTTTCTGTTTGTCCTGTCTGCTGTCTGTTCCCATCTTCCCTTTTATTCCACTTCCTATGTATTAGTTGAGTATTTTTATTATTTTCTTTTTCTCTTTACTTATTAGCTATAACTCTCTATTTTAGTGGTTATTTTAGAGTTTAGAGTATACATTTACCTTATCACAGACTACATTAAAATGATATTATACCTCTTTATGGATACCACATATAGTTCCTAGTAATAGTATACTTCCTTTTTTTCTCCTCTGACCATTGCACTATTGTGTTCTTACATTTTATTTTATAAATGCTATACCATACTCTACAATAATTAACAATAGTTATTATTACTGTGATTTAATCATTTATATTTTCAAGATATTTAAATTTTTTGAAGAAATAAATATTCTTGTTACTTCCAATGCTGTTTTTCTCTTTGTGTATATCATGTTTTGCAACCTCGGCACTATTCATGTTATGATATGAATAATTATTTTTTGACGTAAGAGATTGATGAATAATTATTTTTTGACGTAGGAGATTTTATACTATGCACTGCAGTATTTTTAGCTCTACTCCTAGCCTCTACACCCAGGATGCATGTAACAAATCACCCTCCTCCTCAGTCATGACAGCCAAAGATAATTTCAGGCATTATTAAACATACCTTGGGAGGCAAAATTGCCCCTAATTGAGAATCATTGGTGTAGATTCATATTTCCGTTTGGTATGAGTTTTCTTTTATATTAGAACGCTCTCTTTGACATTTAAAACAATTGTGGGTGTGCTAGTGACTAATTCTTTCAGCTTTAGAAAACAGAGCTGAAATTTATTTAACTTAAAATTAACCATTTTAAAATGAACTCAGTTGCATTTAGTACATTCAAAATATTATTAAACTACTACTCCTATCTAATTCTAAAACATTCTCACCACCCTAAAATAAAACCTCTTACTTATTAAGCAGTTCCATCCCATTCCCAGTGACTCTATGAATTTACTTTTTCTGGTTATTTATTTATTTTTTTTAGACGGAGTTTCGCTCTTGTGACCCAGACTGGAGTGCAATGGCGCAATCTCGGCTCACCGCAACCTCCGCCTCCTGGGTTCAGGCAATTCTCCTGCCTCAGCCTCCCGAGTAGCTGGGATTACAGGCACATGCCACCATGCCCAGCTAATTTTTTTTTTTTAATTTTTATTGCATTTTAGGTTTTGGAATTTTTTGTATCTTTAGTAGAGACGGGGTCTCACCATGTTGACCAAGATGGTCTCGATCTCTTGACCTCATGATCCACCTGCCTCAGCCTCCCAAAGTGCTGGGATTACAGGCGTGAGCCATCATGCCCGGCCTTTTTCTGGTTATTTTACATACACTAAATTGTAGAATATGTGGACTTTGTTGTCTGGCTTCTTTCACACAGCACAGTATTTTTGAGGTTCGTCTGTATTATAGGATGTATCAGTACTTTCTTATATTTGATGGCTTAATATTCCATCGTGCATATACACCACCGTCTATTCATGTGTTGCTGGACATTAGGGTTATTTCCAAAGCCTTTTGGCTTGTGATTACTTCTGCTATACGTATTCATATGCAAGTATCTGCATGAAAATTTATTTTCTCATGGTGAAGAAAAGCCGCTGGATTGCCTCGTGAGGCTATGTTTCACCATTTCAGGAAATGCCAGAATCTTTTCAGAAGTGGGTACACAATTCCATGCTCCCACAAGCAGCACACAAGTTGTTAAATTTTTCTGCATCCTCACCAACACGTGCTAGTGGGTCCTTTCCAATGTTGCTGACTTACAGGATGTGGAGAGTTGTCTCATTATGGTTTTGATTTGCACCGCCCTGATGACTAATGATGTTGAGCATTTTTTTCATGTGTGTAGTAGCCATTTATGTTTCTTCTCTGAGGAAGTGTTAAGATCTTTCACCCTTTTGAAAAATTTGGTTATGCATCTTTATGTCATTATGTCGTAATAGTTCTTTCTATATCCTGTGTACAAGTCCCTTATCAGAGGTATGATTTGCTTCCGATACAGATGCAGATACTCTCAACAAACCATAAGCAAATTGAATCCAACAATATATAAGGAATTAAACACCATGACCTAGTGGGATTGATTCCAAATATGGATTGATTCCAAATATGCAAGGCTTCTTCCATATTTGAAAAAATCAATAAATTAATGTAATGCACTGCATCAACAGACACAAGAAAAACAATCATATAATCACCTGATACATGGCTACTATCATTAGTGTAAACAAAGTCATCTTTTAAATCAACGATAGCTAAGAAATGCCGATGAGTTTATTTTGCCTTCACGTATCCCTTCTTGAACACATTTTCTTTCTTTACCTGGATCTGAATTTCCAAGTGATTTTCCCCTTCTCCCTGAAAAAATTATTCTAACGTTTTTTACAGGGAAGGTCTGCTGGTGATAAATTCCCTCCGTTTTTCTTCACCTGGGAAAATCTTTGTTTCTACTTGACTTTCATTATAAGGATAATTATACTGGATATAAAATTTCTTCTCTTTTCTTTTCTTGTCTTTTTTTCAGACAGGATCTCACTCTGTCACCCAGGCTGGAGTGCAGTGGTTCGATCTTGGCTCACCGCAACCTCCACTTCCGAGGCTCAAGTGATCCTCCCACCTTAGCTTCCTGAGTAACTGGGACTACAGGCATGCAACACCATACCCAGCTAACTTTTTGTAATTTTGGTAGAGACTGGGTTTCACCATGATGCCCAGGCTGGTCTAGAACTACTGAGCTCAAGCAATCCACCCTCACTGACCTCCCAAAATGCTAGTATTACAGGCATGAGCCATTGCTCATCGCCTGGATATAGAATTTCTAGGATATAGAATTAATTTACATATAAGTAGTTTAGTACCTGTTTTCGGTATTGGAGGTCACATCTCTGTGTGGAAGTGGAATTGCTAGGTCATATTCCTTGGGTCATTCTGTTTTACTTTGGCAGGAAATGCCACACATTTCCATCTTCGATTTACAAGGGTTATAACCTCTCCACATCTTCAACAATGGTTATGTTTTTCCTTTTTTAAATTGTCACCATCCTCGTAGCATAAAGTGCCATCTCATTGTGATTTTGATTTGCATTTCTCTAAAAATGAAGTATTTTGAGCGTTGTTTTATATGCTTATTTGTCATTCATATAGACACTTCGGAGAACTTTCTATTTACATTATTTACCAATTCTTGCTTTTTCCCCCATTGAATTATAAAACATCCTTGCTATGGTCTGATTATTTGTTTTCCTGCCTTGATTCATATGCCAAAATTCTAATTCCCAATATGATGGTATTAGAACATGGAGCCTTTGGTAGATAATTAGGTCATGAGTGAAAGGCCGGTTGCCTCACCGGGAGGTGGGACACGCCCATCCCTCGCCCCACCTGAAAATTACGTCACCGGAATCCACCCATCATCTAGCCCCGCCTTGGAAATCCCCTCTGCACTCGGCACTCAACCCCCGCCCTTGGAAAGCCCCTCTGCACTCGGCACCTAGCCCGCCCTTGGAAAACCCCGCCAAAACCTGCCCAATAGCACATTGCCCCATCTGGATATCCCGCCTACCTACCTATAGCAGCTTGCCACGTCCATGTCCTGTTTCTCCACAACCAATCGGAATGCCTTCCCTCCCTATAAAACTCCAGGCCTGAGGGGAGTCAGGCGTGACTTCTCTGCCCTCTTTCCCCAGGACCGCAGAAACTCGCGGGGGAGCTGAATAAATTGGCAAATAATCGTTCTCCTGCGGGCCTCAGTTTCTTCATTTTATACTCGGCAGTAAACCTCGCACAAGCCTCAACCTCACAATGAGGACAGAACACTCAAGAATGAGATTCATTCTATCATAAAAGAGGTCCTTGAGAGCTATAGTCCTTCCACCATGTGAGGAGGCAGTTAGAAGGCGCCATCTGTGAACAAGAAAGTGAGTCCTCGCCAGGCGCCACATCTGCTGATGCCCTGATCATGGATTTTCAATCTCCACAACTGTGAGGAACATCTCTCTGTTGTTTATTAGCTATGCAGTTTATGGTATCCACACAGACCAGCACATTCGTTATGTATTCTGTATGTATGATCCTCGCTAGATGTGTGATCTGCAATTTTTTAATCCTTTTGCAGGTTTTTTTTTTTTTTTTTTCCTAGCCATCTAAAGCCTATGGTGGGCAAAACAAATGCCAGTTTCTGCACCGTTCCAGCAAGGAACTGCCTGGCAGGTTAAAACCCATGGCCACCTTTTTTGTACATACATATTTTCCCCAAGCACCACCAGTCTACACTGGGAACACTGCACATGTGGGGAGTGAGGGACGGTCTGCTGATAAGATGCCATGATGATTGATGACCAAGATTCAGCCATGTCTTTCTTCATTAAGTACACCCCGATAGCTGTAAGGTGTTGTTTTTTTTTTTTTTTAACTGGATTCTACAATTCTGAAAATGTTAATTCAGTCAGCGTTGCTAGCCTCATTGTTGCTTCACTTAAGGGGCCAATTCTTCAGCTACTCTTCAGTTTGCATGAAGTCACTTCCCTCATTCGGCATTTGTATGTTGGAAAAAAAATCTTCATTTCGCCTTTTATTTTTGAAATGTGCTTTCACTGTGTATGAAATTCTATGTCTACAGATTTTTTTCTCCCTTTCAGTATTTTAAAGATGTTGCTGTCTTCTCCCTTGCACTTTCGCAATGAGCTCTCTGCTACCGTCCTTGCTTTTGTTCTTGTGTGTGGAATGTGTCTGTTTCTCTCTGGCTACTCTTTCACTTTTCTCTTTATCATTGAATTTGGATATTTTGATTATGACTTGTTTTTTTTAATGTTTCTTGTTCTTGGGTTCATTAGGCTTCTTGGACCCATGGGTTTACACTTTCCATCAAATTTTGACAAGTTTTTACCATTACATCTTCAGTTATTTGAGAAAAATGCGTTCTTCATAAATTTTTCATAAATTGATTTTTCTCCATGTGTTTCATTTGGAGTTTGTATTGCCATGATTTATAATTCACAAATTTTTTTCATGGAATATTTAACCTGCCATTCCATTACACTTGATTCTGTCTAGTGTAATTTTCATCTAATTCATTGTAGTTTTCATGTCTGAAAGTTTGGTTTTGGTTTTTGAATAACTTTGATGTCTCCTCTGAAAGTTTTTTCCAAAAGTTTTTTTGTTTGTTTGTTTTTGAGACAGAATCTTACTCTGTTGCCCAGGTGTCATCTCAGCTCACTGCAACCTCCTCCTCCTGGGTTCAAGCGATTCTCTTGCCTCAGCCTTCCAGGTAGTTGGGATTACAGGTGCATGCCACCATGCCTGGCTCATTTTTGTATTTTTTTTAGTAGAGACAGTTTCACCATGTTAGTCAGGCTGGTTTCAATCTCCTGACCTCGTGATCTGCCTGTCTTGGCCTCCCAAGAGCTGGGATTACAGGCATGAGCCACCACGCCTGGCCCCCTCTTCTGAAAGTTTAAAACATACAGAATACAGTTCTGATAGTGTTTCTAATATTACATTTTGTGATTGATAATATATGTGTCCATTGTGGATCAATTATGATGTATTGATTATCCTCTTCATTAGATGCTATTTTTCCTACTTCTTTGTGTTCCTGATATTGGATGCTAGCCATTTTGAATTTTATCTTTTCAAGACTAGTGTATTTTTTAACTTCATATTTTTGATTCAGATATTTTGAGATTTAGTTCCTCTGCTTAGTTTTTAATATTTTCTTAGGCTAGACTAGAACAGTGCTCATTCTAGGGTTAATTGTTTCCCAAGATTCAGGAAAACCCTTTGATGTTACTATACTGAAAACCCCATGAATTATGAAATTTTCCAAGATGGCTGTTGGGAAGAAACATTACTCCCAGTCTATGATATATGATAGGCTCATTTGCTGTTAATTCTAATTGTTTTCAAATGGGCTCCCTGGCCTTGAGTAGTTTCCGTTCATGGAGGTGCTGTTTAAACCATAAAAACATTGTCTAAAGTCCGATTGTTTTTTTAAAACCAATTCCTGAATGTGAATTTCTTAAAAAAAAAAATGTCATTTTTAATGAACTTGCTAGGGTTTGCCTAATTAATTCCCAGTGGTGCAAAATATATGTTAAGTCACCAACTTTGCAGTACATGTATTTAACATTTTTTGACAGCTGGATATGTGGAAATGGCATGCTACTCTACAGTTCTGAATTCACTTAACTATTAGGAAGCGCAAGCATTTTTCCATGTTTTTATTATTTATATTTTTGGTATATATTGTTTATGTCTTTGCCCATTTATAAAAATGTTTATGTTCTTTATTTAAAAAAACTATTGTTTCCTTATACATTTAAAACATATTAAGTTAGAGTATAAATAATTAAGAGAACACAGTTGTATAAAAATAGAAATTACTCCAGTAATTCCATTTCCATTCATATCACCACAGTTTAGTTTATATATTTTCCAACAATGTTGTGCCTGTGTATACTTTTGAAAAAATAAATGGATCATATATTTATATTTTTATACTACTTTTCAAATTGAATATTTTCAAGTCAATATCTCAGACACTTTAAGCAATGCTCGGTATCCGTCAAATTCACTAGGCAGAGATTCATTAAAACATTTCTTATAAATAGACATTTAGGATTTTTTCCAATTTTTGCTAGCATTAATTGCCACAATATACATTCTTATTTCTGAACACTTACTGTACACAATCCTAAACAAGGCATCGCTGTGTTCATAATATAATTATATTTTAATTTGTGACATATTGTCAGATTGCCTTCACATATGTTTCCACAAGTCTGGAGATCCCCTCAGTCTGGAGATCCCCACAGCTCACTGATGCCCACTTCTCCACACTTCAACAATGCGTACAGTGAGGTTGGTCAACTCATAATGTATAATGTCTCTCCAAATTACTTTGTCTTTCTGAATTACTTTTAAAAGCTATATTCCCTGCACTTTTCATTTCTTTTAATTACTGATAGAGTATAGATAGTATCCACATATGGTCTGGGGTAACTTCTCTTTCGCTTTCCTTTTTTTCCTTCTTCTTTTTTTGAAAGGGGGGTCTTGCTCTGTCACCTAGGCTGGAGTGCAGAAGCATGATCTCGGCTCACTGCAACCTCTGCGTTTTGGATTCAAGCAACCTTCCTGTCTCAGCCTCTGGAGTAGCTGGGATTACAGGCCATCACCACCATGCCTGGCTTTTTTTTTTTTTTTTTTAATATTTTCAATAGAGACGGGGTTTCACCATGTTTGCCAGGCCGGTCAGGAACTCCTGGGCTCTAGTGATCCTCCCCACTCGGCCTCTTAAAGTCCTGGGATTGCAGGCATGAGGCCTGGCCTCCTTTCTTATTTTTTATCTGCTAATCCTATTGCTAAATTTTGTGTTGAATGGTATTTATAAATCAAGTTAACTTCTTGTGACTGATTCTACTTTTCAACATATAGTTTGCCTTCCCTAGCTTACATTTTCAGCTCAGTTATAAATTTAGGCCAGTAATGCACACCTTGAACAGCATTCCATCCTTCAGAGTTATTGTCTTGGGCAAAGACCTCCGTTAGTAACTCTGGAAACCCTGAGTGCATGTGAAGGGTGAAGCAGTGCTACTGGATGGATTCCCCTGAGAGCCCACTAAGCAGAACAATGCAGTTTACTGAGTTTCAGTTAATTTTTATAAAGACATTTTATGTGAAATATATACTTTATTATGAAATGTGGAAAATATAGAAAATAAACAAAACATTTCTATAACCCCATGGTGTGAACCCAGCAACTTTGGATTTTGGAGACCGTTCCTATTGCCATCTTTGCCATGGCTGTTTGGTGTGCTGCAGTGCCCGTTTCTTGGCTTTGATTTTGTTTTTTTTTTTCTGTCTTGTTTTTTTTCCATCAGCTGCTTATCACACATTCCACACTGCAGTGCAGCTCCTGCTTCCTGTGACCCTGTCTGAGTTCTCTTACAGCATATTCTCCTGGTCTGCTCTCCCCTACACCAGTCCCTACCCAGGGATGAACTGCAAAGATAGGTTCCCCGAATTTGTTGTTCTTTCTGCCTTTTGGGGAGGGGAGATAAATCTACCTTTGAATATTCTGTTAGACCCACCACCATATCCCATCACTTGTCAGCTCCACCCATTCATCCCGCAGAATAATTAAAAGGTGAAGCTAACCTCCTCTCTCTTCTTTTATTTGAAAGGTTACTTATAAATTGTAATTCCCGTGTGCCTGTTAACTATTAACCTTCCACAGGGGAACAAATACTGCAAACCCCAGGCTCTAGAATAGCAAAATCACCAGCATGGGGAAGACCAAAAATTTTTAGAAATGTGTTTAAGAAACCGCTCCCCCCCGCCACCCACCACACACAAAAAAGAAAAGAATAAGAAAAAGAAGAAGAGGAAGAAAAGAAAGAAAGAAAAAAGAGGAGGAGGAGGAGGAAGAAGAAGAAGAAGAGGAAGAAAAGAAAGAAAGGAGGAGGAGGAAGAAGAAGAAGTAGTAGTAGTAGTAGGGGGGAAGGAAGAGGAGAAGAAGGAAGAATAAAAGAAGCAAAGAAAAGTTGATATTCAGATTAAATTCAGGTCTGTGTATCCTACCATGATTTTCCAGGCACTGGGAATGTAGTTCAGGGTGTAAGTTAGGACCCGTTCTCTCGTAGGAATTCTAGAATGATCTCCCACAGACTGCCTCTGCGATGTGGATGACTTCAGTCATCTCCCCTTTAAAATGAGGATGCTGATGAAAAAAGATCTTACATGCTGCATACAAAAATGACAAGAGGTGATTGCCTGGTTTTGATTAAGTAGTTTATAAACAGTACCTTTTATTATTATTTCAAATTATTCCAATAGAAGGCCCATGTAACATTTACTTTCTGTGTTTGAGGTTTTTATGTTGTTCATTGATTTTGTTTTTGTTTTTTAGTTGTCTTCCTCCTGAGGAAAACAAATCATTTTTCTTTTTTTCCCCCTCAGATATGGTCTTTCTATATAAATACATA